GTTCTCCTTAAGCATTGTAATTTATACTCCTCCCCACCCCGAATAAGCATATTCTTCCAAGAAAAAGCAATGAAAAAAGAAATGAGCTTTCTTCTCGGACCTTAAAAAGTTTTTAGTGCCTAGAATAATTTTTACATATGATAGACTGGGCTTTATGCACACAGGTGGACTGGGTGGTTATGGATCAGGAGACAGTGAAGATGAGAGGAGCGACCGAGGTTCTGAGTCATCTGACACTGATGATGAGGAATTACGGCACCGAATCCGGCAAAAACAGGAAGCTTTTTGGAGAAAAGAAAAAGAACAGCAGCTGTTACATGATAAACAGATGGAAGGTATATCTTTTAGACTCAATGTTTGTACAGTTCTGTTCATATTTCTTCTTTTTAATTTTATTTCTTTTTTTTGCGGTACGCGGGCCTCTCACTGTTGTGGCCTGTCCCGTTGCGGAGCACAGGCTCCGGATGTGCAGGCTCAGCGGCCATGGCTCACGGGCCCAGCCGCTCCGGCACGTGGGATCTTCCCGGACCAGGGCACAAACCCGTGTCCCCTGCATCGGCAGGAGGACTCTCAACCACTGCGCCACCAGGGAAGCCCCATATTTCTTTTTATTTTATAACCAACTTAAAAATACCAAACGATAGAATCAAGGCTAGATTATAAATAATATGTGATGTAACTGAAACTAAGGTGTTTTGGCTCATTTGCAGTTTTTATCAAAGTTAAAGTCAAAATTGATTGTAAAAAGTTATAGTTTATAAAAGTTTTTTTGTTTTGTTTTGGGAGACATTAGTTCCATTGGCTGTAAGTTAAGCTATTTAGTGTATTTTTATTTCTTATTAAAGTTCTTAACAGGACTACCCTCGTGGTCCAGTGGTTGAGACTTCACCTTCCAATGCAGGGGGTGCAGGTTTGATTCCTGGTCAGGGAGCTAAGATCCCACGTGCCTCAAGGCCAAAAACCCAAAACATAAAACCGAAGCAATGTTGTAACAAATTCAATAAAGACTTTAAAAATGGTCCACATCAAAAATTCTTTAAGAAAAAAAAAGTTCTTAAAATGAAAAAACTTTTGAAAGGGGAAATATATTGTAAACTATTGAAAAGTAATTTGTAGCTAGCATATTTAAGGATAATAGAGGAATTTTTAGAAGGTTATTTATGTAAAATGCTGTACATGTATACAGTTTTAGTTTATATAATGATAATAGGAATAATGAAAGAATATTTATTTAGAATTTCTTTTTTGAAAAATCTTATTTGGACAATTTGAGAAGTAATTATTAAGAGTTAACAGCCAAAAATCTCCTATAAATTACTTACTTACCTTCAAATTGCCTTACTGTACAAAAGGGAAATCTTTTCTTACTTGCTTTACTGTACCTCTACACTTTGGTACTGTATTGCTGTACTGTCCAGGAAGGCAGCTAACTGCATGTAGCTATTGAGCATTTCAAATGAAGCCAGCCCAAATTGAGATGTGCTGTAGGTATAAAATACACACTGTATTTCAAAGACTTTACATTAAAAAAAAAAAGCAAAATATCTCAATGTTCTTTTTAACTGATCACATGGTGAAATGATAATATTTTTTATATGTTGGGTTAATAAAATATGAAAATCAGTTTCACCTGTTTCTTTTTACTTTTTAAATGTAGCTGTTAAAAAACCCTGAATTGCTTATTGCATTCTATTTCTGTTGAATAGTGCTGCTGTATTTTTGTAGTCTGATAGCTTGAAATTTGGTAGCATGGGAGTTTTTTCATTGCACGTTTGCCTTTCTTACTGTTTTTGTCTTTTTCTGTTTCAGAAGAAAAGCAACAAACAGAAAGGGTTACAAAAGAGATGAATGAATTTATCCATAAAGAGCAAAATAGTTTATCACTACTAGAAGCAAGAGAAGCAGATGGTGATGTGGTTAATGAAAAGAAAAGGACTCCAAATGAAACTACGTCAGTTTTAGAACCAAAAAAAGAGCATAAAGAAAAAGAGAAACAAGGAAGGAGTAGATCAGGAAGTTCCAGTAGTGGTAGTTCCAGTAGCAATAGCAGAAGTAGTAGTACTAGTAGTACTGTCTCTAGCTCTTCGTACAGTTCTAGCTCAGGTAGTAGTCGCACTTCTTCCCGATCTTCTTCTCCTAAAAGAAAAAAGAGACATAGTAGGAGTAGATCGCCAACAATTAAAGCTAGGCGTAGTAGGAGTAGAAGTTACTCTCGCAGAATTAAAATAGAGAGCAATAGGGCTAGAGTAAAGATTAGAGATAGGAGGAGGTCTAATAGAACTAGCATTGAAAGAGAAAGACGAAGAAATCGAAGTCCTTCCCGAGAGAGACGTAGAAGTAGAAGTCGCTCAAGGGATAGGCGAACCAATCGGTCCAGTCGCAGTAGGAGTCGAGATAGGCGTAAAATTGATGATCAACGTGGAAATCTTAGTGGGAGCAGTCATAAGCATAAAGGTGAGGCTAAAGAACAAGAGAGGAAAAAAGAGAGGAGTCGAAGTATAGATAAAGATAGGAAAAAGAAAGACAAAGAAAGGGAGCGTGAACAGGATAAAAGAAAAGAGAAACAAAAAAGGGAAGAAAAAGATTTTAAGTTCAGTAGTCAGGATGATAGGTTAAAAAGGAAACGAGAAAGTGAAAGAACATTCTCTAGGAGTGGTTCTATATCTGTTAAAATCATAAGACATGATTCTAGACAGGATAGTAAGAAAAGTACTACCAAAGACAGTAAAAAACATTCAGGCTCTGATTCTAGTGGAAGGAGCAGTTCTGAATCTCCAGGAAGTAGCAAAGAAAAGAAGGCTAAGAAGCCTAAACATAGTCGATCGCGATCCATGGAGAAATCTCAAAGGTCTGGTAAGAAGGCAAGCCGCAAACACAAGTCTAAGTCCCGATCAAGGTAGTATACTTTTTAAAGTATTTTGTCTGATTTAAAAAAAAAAAAATTTGACTGAATTTATGCAAAGTTGAAAGTGTCCTTTCTCTCTCTCTCTTTAATAAACTCAGTTTGGTACTTGATAAATGATCATAGTCTTAAGTAATTTTAGAAATCCTATATAATATTATTTATTTGAAAATTGCAGATTCTTTAGTATAAAATACATTTTTATTTTTAAATTTTATCTTTTCCCTTTCTTTTTTTCAGATCAACAACCCCTCCCCGTCGTAAACGCTGAGGAATGATGTGGCAAGAATGCCATGATGTTTAAAAAATTCCATGAGTTTTAAGGGCTTGTCTCATTATAGAGGCACATTGTGGCTGTGTAGGTGAAACCAGAATTTTTTTTTTTTTTTAATCTGTAAATAGGTGTACTTTTTCCAAATGCTGCTCCAAGTTACTTAATAGGATTTCTTTGTATTACATTTTTTCAAAAAATAGTGCATAATAAGACTATAAACATGCCATTCTCTTTCAGCTGTAATGTTCTTAAAATTATTCTTGAATGTACTGTGATGTCAATAAAGCTCTTTAGTTCATTTTTGTTAACCTCTTGCACATTAATTTTATGATTTTAATCTAAGGAACGTACTTTTATAAAAAGGCAGCTGGAGTTTTGTATAACAGGTTTTAAAGGTACTTCCTCTCATCTCCCCCAAAGAAAATGGTTTTAAATTAATAGTTTGTCAAAATCTGTAAATTGTACCCATGGATTTTTGTCAAATTTTAACTATAAGGGTGTAGAAGAGGGCCAGAAATAGATCTTTACGTTCATTTGGAAGCATTTGACAGCTTTCTAAACTTTTCTTCCTGTTTTGGGGATTTTCAAGGAATATGTTCTCTATGTGTATAAAGTATGGTTCACTCCTGTAAAATGAAATTGCTGGAATCAATCAGAGCAGTGCACCATTAGAATTATTTATAAGGAATTACTGTGTTTGACAGTAGCAGCAGTGCAAGTCTGGAACTATATTCTGCAGTTTCCCACTTCTGTTTTAAAGCATATTTTAAACACTTTGGGGTTACTATAGAACTAAAACTCACAATTTGATATATTTATTTATATTTTTAAAGTATCATATGACCTCAGCTCAGTGGAGGAATACTGTATTATTCAGGTTTGTGTCAGTTTCATAACATTAAAATTTGGTTTTGTCAGTTTCTTAAAATTATGATCAGTGAGTGGTCTAGCAGTTTAAGGCAGTCATAACTTATGAGTAAAACGAGGCTCTGCAGGCACTGAAATGCTCAACTGAAATGCTTTTAGGGTCCACTTTATATGATTAATCACTTACGCCACAAAAGATAAATCTTTGAAAACAAATGCTTTTAAATTTTAAGTTAAAAAGGAAAAAGCAGGTTCAGGTCACAAGAGTTTTAGAGTATGCCTTGTTACCAGCAGTAGTTCATATTAAAGTAAGCCAGGTTTTTGCCAAGATCAGTGTTTCCTCAAAATGAAGGTAGAAATAGACTTATAATAGTGTGCTCTTGTACCTCTACATAGGTTCTTAAATAATTTTGAGCAGTTACGCATTTATCTAGAGGAAGTCAACTGTGAATAAATGCATGTTTACCAAAATGATTGTTTTACAGTGCATTTAGTTCTGATATTTATTAACTTGACATTTCACACAATAACTTTTAAATAGTTTGGAATTCTATATAGTTTAGAATCAGTCACATCTGAGATGAGTAAAGGAAAATGTGCAATATTTTTTATGTAGGTGAGCTAACACAGTGTACCTAATTGCGGAATTATCTGATTAATTTGTAATAGATAAGTTGTATAACATTTTCATATCTAAAAATGTTTTTTAGATCAATCTCAAGTGAAATAATATTTTCAGAATAAAATTCTACAGAAAAAGTCTACTGGCTATGATATGCACATTTTTAAGCAAGATATGAACTAGAACCAAAAGTAGCATTTGACAGTTTGATTTACTCTGCCATAATATGCAAGCTTCTTACCTGTATTTTTTAAAACATAGTCATGATGTATGTGATTATTAGTAAATACATCAGTATTATAATTAGATATTTGGGTTTTCAGTTTAGAGAATTCATCATTTCACTGACATTAATGGAGTATGTTTACCTTGAATGGTAAGATTTTATAAATAGGGCTTCCATGATTTGGGATGTGAATGCTAAAACTTATACGTAAGTTAATTAGATGTGTAATTTGGTTAAGTCTTTTCTAAAATGATACCACCAGAAAATTAATAGATTAATTTTTTGAGACAATCATTGGTCTGGATTGGTTAATAAAAACTGTCTTAAGAGGTTTTCTTTTCAAATATTTCTGGTGTATTAATCATACTTGTTTTTGTGGAATGGGGGTAAACCACACCATTAAAAGAATAAAATGTAATTTGGAAAGAGGTAATTATAAGATTTGTTTCAGGCCCCAAAATATAAATAAAGATTGGTGTGGAATTTCAGTGTATATGTTTCCTGCCCTTGTAAAATGTCTTTTTAAAAAAGCATCTGTTTCTAATGGTATAACACAATAGGTGAACTTTCCAAACATCATCTTTTTTTTAATGTCTGAGTTATTTTGTTTCTTCAAAGGAAGACATGAAGTATAAATAGTATTTTTAATTTATTGAAGTTTCTAAAATGTGCAAAGTATGGTTTAGTGGAAATAGTATTAGATTCATTGGATTGTCCTGCCTCTGCTGTTTGATATATTTTGGGCAAATCACTTAATCACAGTGGAACTCAGTTTCTTCAGCTGTATAACGGTGGAATTAGATTATCTCTAAGGTCTTAAGTTCTTCAGTTTTAAGTAGAATTTGGTTGTAATGTCTAAACCTTATATGAGAAAATGGGCTTAAAATAACTTAATAGCCCTTAAAATAACTCATGTGTGATGAGTTACATTGATACCATGAAGGTTTACTAGGTGTCATCCATAGAGTTTTCCTATAAAAACATAAATCTGCCACATTCTGATTGTGGTAATGTTAAGATAAAATTATCTTAAGTTTCCAATTTATTGAATATATGGAATTTTGTAAATACAAAAATTTACCAGTTAAACCTAAGTGGATGTAGTAGTGTTATCATTTCAAAGAGGTAAAACTGTGTTAGCTATAAGGGAGCACTTAACCCTTAACTTTAATGAAAAAAGTTTATATAAAATTGAATTTCAAAGTATTAAATAGATTTTTAGTTTTATATCAAAATAAACTGTAGACCCTGTAACACGTTTATAGGTCAGACCATGGGGATGATCTGAGAAATATCTCACAACAGCCATACATCGCATTATAGCTGCTGTTCCTCCAGTACAACTTGGGTTTAAGTGTCATTGAAAGAGCCTTTTATTGATATTTGTAGAGAAAAGTACTGCAAGCTAGTTTTGCTTTTCTGAGCCAAACTAGTGGGTATTTAAGAGGCTTTTGTTTCCTATTGGTATTAAGGCAAATCACTGATTGCCTTTGTTGTTGAACTGAAAATGTAGTGGAGAGGCTCTGAAGCCCAGTGAGGGGAATCATTCAGAGAAAGTACATGTAAATCAAGCTCTTAGAACTTTAATCATACTTGCACTTTGCTTTTTCCTGGGATCTGTCACTCCAGCAGATATAACACATGCTAAATGTTCTTTTGTGCAGAGCTTTCTGCCTTCAGTTGGAGAGATGGTCATGCATCTTGAGGAGCTCTGAAGACAACTTGAAAAATCTGCAACCACTCTTAGGAGGAGGTCAATATTTTACTAAGAAGCCATAAGGGAAAGACCATTACTGAGCAGTAAATTTGACTAATTCAAAGAACCCTTTACCAGTCTGATCCTGCCTGTTAAAAATGTATAATGATTTTGTCTTTGATGTTGGACATTTATCATTGTTTGTACCCAAGGAAAGGCTGTTACACATTTAGAAGTAAAATGTTAGGTTGCCTGTTCTAACCCTTAAGTGAAGTTTGCCTAGCCTGAGTGATTAACAGTTTCCTGCTATGTAATGTGTGCCCTGTCGGGAACATTATCAGGTCACTCACAGAAAACCAACTTTCAATATAGACTTCTGGCCCTCTGACATTTGAGTGCCTTGAAATGGGAAACAATTCTCTTAGGGAAGAAGTGCTTCGGATCTTTTGTAATTATAAGTTTCGGTCAGTGTCTTACAGGAGTGTCCTTGGGAGACGTCTGTTAAATATGAAATAATTAGAGCTATACAGGAATAAAAGCTAGATCACATAGCTTGAAATGGTATCATTACTGATGGCTACTTTGAGGTGGTCATACAGGAATGGGCGTAATGGAGGATCTTGAAGTTAGTGTATGACAACAGAAACATTCTATAGTTTAACTGCATGCACAATTTGACATGTTGAGCGTTAAGAGTAACTACAGTCACACATCTGTAACACCCATCACTGCGGCCATGATTCGTTTGGCTCTCGGAACCTTTCTGTAGGGGATCATTTGCGGGAGGGACCGGAAGAGGTGGAGCCTTTGTCACGATGTTGGGAGGCCGCAAGCTGAGCACCTCCGGGAGTCGGTTTTTAGGAGCGCATAGGTCGGCGTTCCGGGGCACACAGGCTGACTGTCCTCGCTTAACGACGTCGGCGGGTGAGTGCGTGGGGGTCGCTCGCACGCAGCCCACGGCGCGAGCCGGCTGTTCTGCGCAGGCGCAGGCGCGGTCGGTGAGCTGACTCGGGGCTCCGCGCGGGGTCAGCCAAAGACATGTACGTTGGGTCCTGGCCCTCGCTGTCCGTAGAACGCTCGGCCTGGGCTCTTACCGTCCCTTACCCAGAGGCTGGGAAAAACAGCTGAGGACTAGAGGTCCTGGCCGAGGAGAGCGCAGCCTGTGGGCCGTCGCCATGTATCCAGTGACCTTTGTCTTAGTTTCGTTGAGCTCCTGCAGGAGCCGGCGGCCACTCTGCCGGCTGGAGTCTCAAGGTCATGTGCCTTTTTCCTTTGCCCCGGCGGGGAAGGACACCAGCTGTGTCATAGTTATTGGTCGCCTTTTGTTTGTGTTTTGTTTGCACGTATCTTGCCATGTTTCAGAATTTAAGGCAGCAATATTATTTTTTGATGAATAGGTTAATTCAACACACTGTATTGGCAAATAAGATCAAGAAAGTAGCACACCGAACCTGATCCTTGTAGAAGACAGTTTGATTATTTAACTCCCAATATTAACCAGAACGTTAAGTTCATTTTTTACATGAAACTCATTTAACAAATGCTGTTTGCCAGGCACTGGGAATTTTTAAAGAAGTGATACCTAAGGGCCTCTTTAAAAAAATGTCAGGATGGAACTAAGATCAGCTTATAAAGAGCAAGAACTGGGAAACTTAAAGGCCTCCAATAGAATTGACAAGTTGTGGGAGTTCCCTGGTAGCCTAGTGGTTACGCTCCCGGGATTTCACTGCGGTAGCTGGGGTTCAGTCCCTGGTAGAGGAACTGAGCTTACACAAGCTGTGTGGCCTGGCCAAAAAAACAAAAACAAAAAAAGAATTGATAAGCTGTTACTCTCAATAGAGTGAAAAATAGTGCAGCCAATAAACATGATTTAAATCAATGTGTAGCCACATGGAAAATGATTAGATGTAGTGTTAAGAAGGTAAGTTACAGAAGACCTAAATAGACATTTCTCTGAGGAAGGCGCACAGATGGCCAACGGGCACATGAAAAGATGCTCAATATTGCTAATTATTAGAGAAATGCAAATCTACAATGCGGTATTACCTCATACCAGTCAGAATAGCCACCATTAAAAAGTCTACAAATAATGCTGGAGAGGGTGTGGAGAAAAGGAAGGCTCCTACACTCTTGGTGGGAATGTAAATTGGTGCAGCCACTATGAAGAACGGTATGGAGGTTCCTTAAAAAACTAAAAATAGAGTTACCATATGATCTTGCATTCCCATTCCTGGGTATATACCTGGAGAAAGCTCTAATTTGAAAAGATACATTCACCTCAGTGTTCATAGCAGCACTATTTACAATAGCCAAGACACGGAAGGAAACTAAGAGTCCTTTGACAGATGAATGGATATAGAAGATGTGGTATATATACACAATGGAATATTACTCAGCATAAAAAAGTGAAATAATGCCATTTGCAGCAACATGGATGGACCTAGAGATTATCATACTAAGTAAGTCAGACAGAAAGAAATATCATTTATATGTGAAATCTAAAAAAATGTTATAACCGAACTTATTTACGAAAACAGAAATAGACTCAGACATAGAAAACAAACTTACGGTTACCAAAGGGGATAGTGGTGGGGGGGGAATAAATTAAATTATGAGTTTGGTATTAACATATACACACTAATAACTATAAAATAACAAGAACCTACTGTATAGCACAGGGAACTCTATTCAATATCTTGTAATAACCTGTAATGGAAAAGAATCTGTCTGAATCACTTTTCGGTACACCTGAAACTAATGCAACATTGTAAATTAACTATACTTCAATTTTTAAAAAGGTAAAAAAAAACCCTTACAAATCAGTTTGTATTATGAACTTGGAGATATATAGTGAGAATAGAGATACATCAAAATTTTAACAGTGATTATCTGAGGTGGAGTTGGTGAACTATCATTTTATCATTCGTTATATACTCTTCATAATTTTTTTCAGTAAATATGTCTTTTATAATCAGAAATTTAGAAAAAATACAGTATAAATATTTCCAAATTTTGGAAGTGAACATAGAAGGAATAAATATTTGGGATGAGGGAAACTTCTTAAACAAGATATTTAGGGAGCTGTCTTGAAGTTGTCCAGTTTTAGAAGAAGTTGGAGTGGCCAAAGGACCAGCTTGAGTATCAATGAGGAGGCTTCTAGGAAACTGCGAGGTGTTCCTTGAAAAGTACAGTGTGGATGGAGGGCTGGAAAAGAGGGCAGAGAATGGCCAGGGATAAGACAGACTTTTTAGGCCATGACAAGTACACGAAAGACCACGTACACCTCCTGGGATTGACTTTATCTTCAAGACAGTGGGAAATTACAGAACGAACAACATACTCAGACTCGTTTTTTAGAAATAACACTTGGCAGCTGTGTAGACAGTGGGATGGAGGCAGACAAGACTAGGCTCAGGGAGGCCTTAGAGTAATCCAGACAATAAATGATGAATGCTGGAACCACGCCGTTGGCACGGTAGAGGGCTTGTTCACTGTCAGCATGGTACCTGATAGGTGCTGATAAATGACTTTTTGAATAAATTAAATGAAAAATTTCCCCATTCCTTTAAAATTTCAAATACCAGAATGATCACAGATTCGAGGTAAAGAAGGAATTGGTAGCATTCTATTAATACAAACTTGATTAGTTTCTCTCAGTTATGGTGAGGTAGATTTTAAGGCCCTTAAGAATTCTGGCCATACTGATGACTGAGGGACTAATTTTCCAGAAATAGGGGAGGTGAGAGGGAGATTGGGGTCATCACTGACCAGAGAGCAAGGACTGTGTTGAAATCTTTGTGGCTCAATTTCATGATAATACCTTACACAGTTGACCCCTTGAACAACACAAGTTTGAACTGCACCAGTCCTCTTAAATGTGGGGAGTTTTCTCCCAATAAATATGTACTACAGTACTACATTGCCTGAGGTTGGTTGAATCCAAGGATGTGGAGCAGCAGATGTGGAGGGCCGACTGCAAAGTTATACCTGGATTTTTGACTGCATGCGTGCCTTGACGCTGCTAACCGCCACGTTGTTCAAGGGTCAACTGTAAATCCTTATCTGTGTATCACAGTCTACATAATTCTCTGATATCTCATTTACCTACCTAAAGTCATAAGGGAGGTGATATTTGACCTGGGTCTTAAAAAATAACACAGATAGAAATGGTGGAAGAGAGAATAACTTGAGCTAAAGCCTAGAAGCACAAACTTTTTTTCTGAGGATGTTAAAATGAATTTTGGCCAGGCTGTGAGGTCCTATTAAACAAAACAAAATTTTAAAAACATAAAAAGCTCAGGAGAAAAATGTTCAGAGACTATGAAAAGACAAGACATGAAAAATAAATGACCATTTGTCTTAGTCCATTCCTACTGCTACAGCAAAATACCACAGGCTAGGTGGCTTATAAACAAGAAAAATTTATTTCTCACAGTCCTGGAGATTGCAGAGTCCAAGATTCGGTGTCTGGTGAGTGCTCACTCCCTGATTCATAGGTGGAGCCTTTTTGCTCTCTGGGGTTTCTTTTTATAAGGGCACTAAACCCAATCATGAGGGTTCCACCCTCAAGGCCTAATCCCTCTCAAAGACCCCCACCTCCTAATACCATCCCCTTGAGGGTCAGGATTTCAACATGTGAATTTGGGGGATACACAAATATTCAGACCATAGCACCATTAAACTTAAAAAAAGACACTTAACCTCACTCATGATAAATTAAAACTATAGTGAGATACCATTTTCACCTATTGGATTAGCAAAGATAAAAAAAGTTTGATAATACACTGCATAGGTGACTATCAAAGTATTATCAGTGTGGGGAAACCAACACTAGAAACTCATAGTTTCTAGTGAGATTGCAAATTGGTTCAACATCTAAGAAAGTAATTACAAATTTATAAATGCACATGCCAATTGACACAATTCTTGCGGTTTTACATACAGGTACTCTCAAAAAGAAATTACCTATGTAATTCAATCTTATGTTTTCAGAATAGCAAAAAATTAGAAATAATTTAAATAAATGTACATTAATAGGGCACTGCTTAAGGCAGAAATAGAGACACATGTAGAGAACAAATGGCATTTACCAAGGGGGAAAAGTGGCGGGGGGTGGGGGTGGTGGTGTGATGAATTGGGAGATTGGGATTGGCATGTATATACACTGATGTATATAAAAGGATGACTAATAAGAACCTGCTGTATAAAAAATAAAATAAAATTCAAAAAAAAATAGGGCACTGCTTAAATAAATGATGAGTTATAGCCATACAATGGATTACCTTGCAAACCTAAAAAAAAGGAAGTTCTTTATGCTCTATTTTGAAAAAAATCTCCAAGATACATTGATAGGTGGAAAGAGCAAGGTGCAGAACAATGAGTATACTGTGCTACATTTTGTATAAAATAAGAGAGAAATTGATACACAAAAATGAAATATGTATAAAATATCTGGAGGCTTACATGCAAATCTAGTAACATTGGTTGCTTGCAGAGAGGGAAGTTGGATACCTAGAGTCAGGGGGAAGAGAAGCACTTTGTAGTGTCCACTTTTATACTTTTTAATTAAAAATTTTTTGTTTTGAAATAGACTCATAAGAAGGTGCAAAAATAATACAGAGAATTTCCATATGCCCTTCACCCAATTCCTCAGTGATAACATCTTACATAACCATAATACATTGTCAGAGTCAGGAAATTGACGTTAGTATGATACCATCAACTAAACTACAGTCCTTTGGATTTCACCACCTTTACATGCACTCATTGTGTGTGTGTGTGTTACCACACGTAGAGATTTGTGTAATAACCACCACAATCAGGATATGGAACTGTTCCACAATCACAGCGTAACTCCTGATAATACTCCTTTATAGTCAAACCTTACCACCAACCTTAAACCTTGATCTATTTTCCATTACATTACATTATTATTTCCATTATAATTTTGCCATTTCACAAGTGTTATGTAAGTGGAATCTTACAGTATATACCTTTTGAAAAAATGTTTCTGCACTCAACATAAATACCCTTGAAATCCATCCAAGTTTTTGCATGTATCAGTAGTTCATTCCTCTTGATTTCGGAGTAGTATTTCATGATATGAATATGCCACAGTTTGTTTAACCATTCATCTATTGTAGGATATTTTGATTGATTCCAGTTTGGGGCTGTTATGGATAAAGTTGCTGTGAACGTTGATGTACAGGTTTTTGTGTGGACGTAAGTTTTCACTTCTCTGGGATAAATGCCCAGGAATGCACTTGCAAAGCTGCGTGATAAATATATGTTTAACTTTATTAGAAACTGCTAAACTGCTTTTCATGGTGTCTGTACCATTTTACATTCCCACTAGCAATATATAAGAGATCTAGTTTTTTCATGTCTTGGTCCACATCTGGTAATATCAGGGATGGTTAAATTTTAGCCAATTTGATAGGTATGTAGTGGCTTTCATTTGCATTCCTCTAATGGCTACTGCTATTTAACATCTCTTCATGTGCTTATTTGCATCTGTATATCTTCTTTGATGAAATGTCTGTGTCTTTTTATAATACCCACAGCCATTTTAAAATTGGATTGCTTATTTTGTTTTTCTGTGGGAGGTTTTTTGTTTTTCTGTTTCGTTTTACTGTTGAGTTTAAAGAGTATCTTTATATATTCCAGATACAAGTTCTTTATGGGATATATGTTTTACAAATATTTCCTCCCATTCTGTGACTTGACTTTTCTTTTTCTTAACAAGGTGTTTTGCCGAGCAAAAGTTTTAAACTTTGATTAAATCCAATTTAATCAATATTTTCTTTTATGGATTGTGATTTTGGTGTCAGATGTGAGAACTCTGTGTGTAACCCTAAATCAGGAAGATCTTCTCCTATATTTTCTTCTAAAAGTTTTATAGTTTTCATTTAGATCATTTTGAGTTCAGTTTTGTGTAAGATGTGAGATTTCGTTCAAAATTTTCTTTTTTGTCTATGACGTCTAATTGTTTCAACACCATTTACTGAAAAGACCATTCTTCCTCCTTTGAACTGCTTTTGCACCATTTGTCAAAAAAGCAGTTGGGTGAATTTTTTTTTTTTTTCCTCTCTCTGGACACTCTTGTTGCATTGATATTTCAGTCTGTCTCTCCTCCAGTACCACACTGTCTTGATTACTGTAGCTCTATGATAAGCCTTAAAATTGGATATTTGATTTCTGCAGTTTTATTCTCCTTTTTAACATTGTTTATTCTGTCTCTTTTGATAGAAATTGTGTCAAACATATAGATCAATTTGGGGAGGATTTATGTTGACTCTTCCAATCCATGAACATAGTATGTTTCATCATTTACTAGGTTGTCTTTGATTTCTTTCATCAGTGTTTTATATAAATTTTCAGCATACAGAATCTGAACATGTTTTGAGGGATTTATACAACAATGGAAGTATTCTTTCTTGGACTGATTTTAAATAATAGAGCATTTTGAATTTTGCTTTCCAGTTGTTCATTGTTAGTATATAGAAACAATTGACTTTTTTGTGTGTTGAATTTGTAGTCTGTTACCTTGCTGAACCGACTTATTCCAGGAGCTTTTTTTTTTTATTTATTAAAGATTTCTTGGGATTTTATACATAGACAATCATATCTGCAAATAGGGACCGTTTAATTTCTTCCTTTCCATTCTGTATGTCTTTTATTTCCTTTTCTTGCCTTATTGTACTGGCTAAGATTTTTAGTAGTACCTTGAATAGGAGTCATGAGAATGGGCATTCTTGCCTTGTTCTTGATTTTAGGTGTAAAGCACTTAGTCTATCACCATTAAGTACTTTGTGAGCTATAGAATTTTTATGGGTGTTCTATCAGATCGAAGAATTTCTCTTTTATTCTTAGTTTGCTGAGAGGTTTTAGTCGTAAGTGGGTGTGGAGTTTGTCAAATGTTTTGTCCACATTAATTAGTAAGCTTATGTGTGTTCTTCTCTCAACTATTAATATGGTAGATTACATTGATTGATTTTCTACTCTTGAACTAGTGTTGCATAGCTAGAATAAATCCTACTTGGTTATGCTGTATTTTTCCTTTTATATGTTGCTGGATTCTGTTTACTAATTACTGAGAATTTTTGTGTCTGTTCATGAGAGAAATTGGTCTGTGGCTTTCTTTGCTGTACCATCTTTGTCTGGTTTTTGCCAGAGTAATTTGTCTTCTTGGTGGATTCTCTCTCTCTCTCTTTTTTTAAATTGAAGTATAGTTGATTTACATATGTAAATGTAGATTTATATATAGATGTAAATCTATAGATTTACATCTGTATATGTAGGTTATTACAGGTATATATAACCTATATATCCTTTATAGGTTATTACAAGATATTGAATATAGTTTCCTGTACTATATAGTAAATCCTTGCTGTTTTATCATAATGTAATGTCCCTGGTAGTTTTCTTTGCTCTAAGGTCTACTTTGTTTAAATGTTTATTGAACAACTGAATGTTCTGCAGCAGAGTAACTAGTTCATAAAGCAGGTCCCTGTGTAAGTTGGAACATATAAACTGAATGACTATTTATTTTAGGAGATATATATGTCTATAAGTGCACATTTTTTTTCCTCTGTAAAATGTGTTGAGCATACATATAAATCCATTTCATGTAGCTAACATGAACGTGACATAATTTGAACTGGTTTTGATAAATAATCTCAAAATTAATATTACCCTAGTTTGTGGGAATTCCCTGGTGGTCCAGTGGTTAGGACTCTGCGCTGTCACTGCTAAGGGCTCGGGTTTGATCCCCGGTTGAGGAATTAAGATCCCACAAGGTGTGTGGTGTGGCAAAAAAAAAAAATTACTCTAGTTTAAAAGGTACTGTAGTTTTAATTTGAATATCATTTTTAATAATTTTGTGCAGCATAATGTGTATGTAAAAACAAATGGCATGAAAAACTTTACCATAGGCATTACTTATTTTTGATGATTATTATTTCAGAAATGTCTGATTGGAGTTAGATGGCAGAATGCAAGATTTTTATTTTATAATTTAAAGTAAAATCTAAAATTAAGGGGAAAAAACCCTTTTGTTTATCAACTGTAATATAAGATTGCTGTATAAAATAGTTTCTTCAATTACATGCATATCAGGGATTCATACTGTGCAATGCTTTCTCTAGACATTTAATTTTCTTTTCTCAGCTTATTCAAAAAATCAGCTCAGTTGGACTCTACAAATTAAACCATCGGTTTTCAGTGAATACAGAATCATGTGTTTCAAATCCTATAGCATGACTTTTGCGTGCCTGAATAGGATGAAAAGTTACAGGTAAGTTTGTTCATTATTGTGGCAAATATTCACATAATTATGTGCAATAATAGTTTAGTATTGATTGTGTTTAATAAACTTTGTCAGTAGAGCTCATGTGGTTTGATTAAGGTAGCTTTTATTTATTTAAATATTCTTATTTTTCCAACAGCTTTTAAATTTGGGAAATTTCAAACCCACAGAAAATTTGTAATATAGTATACATCCAGTACGTGCCTTTCATCCATATTTAGTCATAGCTTTTATTTTATTTTTTATATATATATATATTTTTTTTCAGTACGCGGGCCTCTCACTGCTGCGGCCTCTCCCGCTGTGGAGCACAGGCTCTGGACGCGCAGGCCGAGCGGCCATGGCCCACGGGCCCAGCCGCTCCGTGGCATGTGGGATCCTCCCGGACGGGGGCACGAACCCGCGTCCCCTGCATCGGCAGGTGGACTCCCAACCATTGCGCCACCAGGGAAGCCCGATAGCTTTTACTTTTTTATTTTTAGTTTGTTTTTGGATTTTTGCGGCATGTGGGCCTCCCACTGTTGTGGCCTCTCCCGCCGCGGAGCACAGGCTCTGGACGCGCAGGCCCAGCCGCTCCACGGCATGCGGGATCCTCCCGGACCAGGGCACGAACCTGCGTCCCCTGCATCGGCAGGCGGACTCCCAACCACTGCACCACCAGGGAAGCCCCCGGTAGCTTTTATTTTTAATGCAAGACTATATTACTCAGAGAACTACTTTTTACTTCCTCATAATATCCTTATGACAGGACACAAATAACGCAGTGCTTAAATCATAAATGATTTGGGTGTAACATAAATATAAGGTGGTTAAGTATACATTCTAGATAGTAATATTGAATCAAAGTAATATCTTTATGTATTCATATATTAGAAACCAGTTTCTAACTTTGTGAAAAATATTGCATTGTGTTAAGGTATGAGCTCTGTTCTCCAAGTGCATGCTCATAAATGAACTGGCTCTTTTAAGATTGGATGTCTGTAAAATCATTCTTAGTCAACTGAGCAACCACCTACTGTTAACTATTGTAAGTTAGTCCTTTTTTTTTTTTTTTTTTTTTGCGGTACGCAGGCCTCTCATTGTTGTGGCCTCTCCCGTTGCAGAGCATAGGCTCCGGCCGCACAGGCCCAGCAGCCATGGCTCACGGGCCCAGCCGCTCCGCAGCATGTGGGATCCTCCCGGACCGGGGCATGAACCCGTGTCCCCCGCATCGGCAGGCGGACTCTCAACCACTGTGCCACCAGGGAAGCCCAAGTTAGTCCTTTTTCAAAAAAATTTATTTTATTTATTTAATTTATTTTTGGCTTCGTTGGGTCTTGGTTGTGGCATGTGGGATCTTTCGTTGCGGCACACAGGCTTCTCTCTAGTTGTGGTGTGCAGGTTTTTTTTTTTTTCTCTCTAGTTGTGGCGTGCGGGCTCCAGAGCACGTGGGCTCTCTAGTTGAGGTGCGTGGGCTCAGTAGTTGTGGCAAGGGGGCTTAGTTGCCCCATGGCATGTGGGATCTTAGTTCCCCGACCAGGGATTGAACCCGCGTCCCCTGCGTTGGAAGGAAGATTCTTTACCACTGGACCACCAGGGAAGTCCCTGTAAGTTAGTCCTTGATTACTGAGGCTTTGCATGAAGCATGAAAAAGAGGGTAATATTCATAAAATAATATTAAAGAAGAGTGATATTTAACTCTTAAAAGGATATTAAGTAATCAATATAGAATGTACTCTACGTAGCTTAGAAAAACGTAGTAAAATTTAAATGGCATTACCTATGCTAATGTAACAACCTATTCTCTTTTACCCAAAAACCTCTGAAGAATTTTCCTATCATGTACTTTGACATGGGACCTGGTGTAGTATCTGTCTGATCCCCATTTAGTCCCTGTTCGATTCCATTTGATTAAAAAATATATTTACATGAATTATATACTTTTCTGGGCCTTCTCCTTCAGCCTATTTATTTGACAAATGTTTCCCGAGCACCAACTGTGTTTTAGGAACTGTGCTTGTCACTAGGGATAAAATGATAAGCAAGACAGCTTATGTTCCAATGGAGAGACATGATCAACTAATCACATAGGCTCACAAAGAAGTACAGAGTTGTATAGGAGTTAAAATAGGACAGTATTAGATGACATTCCATTTAAGCTAAGGTCTAAAGGATGAGAAGAAATTAATTAGGTGTGTAAAGGAGGGAAGGGGGAATGTGAGAACAATGTTCCAGACAGAGGGAATGACATGTCCAAAGTATCTGGGGAATGAACAAGCATTGCCAGTTCAAAGAACTTAAAGAAGACCCATGTGCCTGGAGTGGGGAGGATGAAGAGAGTAGTGGGAAGTGACTTTGGAGAGGGAAGAAACTGGGGACCAAATAATTCAGAGTATTGTATGCTATGCTAAGGATTTTGGTCTTTTTCCCAATGTCACTGGAAAGCCATGGAAGCATTTTAAGTGGGAAAATAGCATGATCATATTTATATTTCAGAACAGTCACTCTGGGTGCATTGTGGGGAACAGATTAGAGGGGGATGAAGTCCTAAGAAGGCCAACTAAATAGAAGGCTAGGACAATAGTTCAGGCAAGAGATGACGGGAGCTTGGATTAGTATGATCAAGCAGTAGAAATGGAGAGAAGGCTGAGGCATCTGAGTTCAAATCCTGGCTCCACCACTTAATCTCTCTGAGCCTTCCTTTTCTTGTCTGTGCACTAGAGATAATAATAGTACCTACCTTATGGAGTTGCTGAGGATTAAATAAGATGGCATATGACATATAGGGATTTCTTAAACAAGCAGTACCTGGTATTTAGTAAGTATTCAGTAAATAGTTACTACTACTACTACTACTACGTGACCCAAAAGGCCAATTTTTTAAAGTTTCATTTTTGTTGTAACTTACTTCGAAAGCAAATTAATTTGTTTCATCTGTGACTATATATATATATATGTACACACACACATATATACATATATATATCTATTTATAAGCAATGTGATTATAAGAAAACTTGTTTTGAAGCATCAAAAATGAGCGATACATATATTTAGAATCTAGTAAATTGCAAATTAGAATATCTTTCTACTTAATATATCCCATGTTACATTTTTTTAAATGGCAGTTTTTGCCTGGCTCTTCCTTCTGACCTCTTAGACTCCCTTGGACAAGACTGTACAGTACTTCCCGGACCACTGTAGACAGCAGTGAGGTGAAGACCTTCCTGGCCTTGGCGCACAGGTGGTGGGACGAGCAAGGAGTATATGCACCTCTTCACTCTATGAATGACCTGAGGGTGCCGTTCATTAGGTAACATTACAGAAATTCTAGATCTTTTAAAATACAACTCTTTTCTTCAATAATTCATTTTCTTTCGAGTTCATTTTTCTCTCGGTTTATGCCTAGGTTCAAAATGCTGCATTTTAACTTTGCTTTAGAAATTAGGGAGATTCTCTTCAATATCCATTGTTTGACACTATTAATTTTTTTTTTTTTTTTTTTTCTTTGTGGTACGCGGGCCTCTCACTGTTGTGGCCTCTCCCGTTGCGGAGCACAGGCTCCGGACGCGCAGGCCCAGCGGCCATGGCTCACGGGCCCAGCCGCTCCGCGGCATGTGAGATCTTCCCGGACCGGGGCACGAATCCGTGTCCCCTGCATCAGCAGGCGGACTTTCAACCACTGTGTCACCAGGGAAGCCCTAAATATTTTTTAAAATTTGTTTTATTTACTTATTTTTGGCTGTGTTGGGTCTTCGTTGCTGCACACGGGATTTCTCCAGTTGTGACGAGCAGGGGCTACTCTTCATTGCAGTGCACAGGCTTCTCATTGCGGTGGCCTCTCTTGTTGCGGAGCACAGGCTCCAGAGCGCAGGCTCAGTAGTTGTGGCGCACAGGCTTAGTTGCTCCACGGCATGTGAGATCTTCCCGGACCAGGGCTTGAACCCATGTCCCCTGCACTGGCAGGTGGATTCTTAACCATTGTCCCACCAGGGAAGTCCCGAAACTATTAATTTTTTAATAGCATCACTCGAGTTCTACACTGTTTCATAAATTAACTTGAAGTATTTTTGGATATTATTGAGTTAATTAGAATTAAATCCATATGAAAAGGAATTAGGGTCCTGTGGCATCAAGGTCATTTTATAGCATCTTTGGCCTTTAGGCAGTTCTGATAAAGGGAATAGTACTGAGAAAGTTCAATTCAACAAATATTTTTTTGAGAACTTACCTTGTACAGAACTTGGGGGCTGGAATCTGTAAAAGCTACTGAGATATTCATCATTCAAAACACAGTCTGTGTGCTTCAGGAACTTAGAGTTTGCCATGGGAGATAAAGGCAAGGGTTCATCAGACTCCACTTATCAAGACTCCACTTATCAATTGTTCATTCGTTCTTCTGTCCATTTATTTATTTATTTATTAAACATTTTTGAGCAGCCGACATGGGCAAGGCAGTGTGATAGACACAGAATATCAGATTCAGACTGCCCTCAAGGAACTTCCTGATTGGTTTTTGCTGGTTTTATCAGTGCAGCAAAAAGGAAAATATTGGCACATTCTTATTACCACTGAATTAGTGGATCATTGAAACACTAAGGCAGAGAAAAGCAGAAATGTCATTCTGTTAGGCTAGATCAGTGGTTCTCAAGGTTAGCCCTGGACTAGCAACATCAGTATCACCTGTGATCTTGATAGAAATACAAAATTCTCAGGTATCACACTGGACCTACTGCTTTGGGGGGTCAGCAGTCTGTGTTTTCCTTCCAGGTGATTCTGATGCACGCTCAGCTTGAGAACTACTCTGTTCCAACTAATGTGACACTACTAGTTAGACATAACGCTAGAAAAGACCATCCAGGGCAGTACAAATTATGGTTAGAAGCTTAGATTTTATTCTGATCATAATTAAAGCCATTGAAAGGGAGCAATGTGATCTAAACTATGATATAAAGAAGTCATTTTGGCCAATGTGTGAAGAATGGATTGGATTTCATTTGAAATGGGTCCTTTCTGTATATTATAACGTTCTGAAATTATCTACTTAACCACTATCTAGGTTTTTCTTAGAAGTCAGTTAATTTGAATAGCAATAAAAGATTTCCTAAGATGTCCTTGTTATATATGACATTTATTTTAATATAAGTATAATTAGAATTTGTATGTAGCCCAACTTAAAAGTTTAGTTTACGATACTGTTAGCTATATATATCTGTGTGTGTATATGGGGTTGTGTGTGTGTGTGCTTACATTTGTGTATGTGGGAAAATATTGCTATGATTATCTTAGAATTAAGTCTACTTGATTTGGGTGCCTGTTTACATGATCGTGAAAACACCACTAAGAAGATGAAAAGTGACTCAATTTAGAAGGTAATGTAGGCAAATTCTGCAAATATAGATCTCCAGTCTGCTTCTACTAAACCCTGTAAAATAACCTATTTGTTGCTGATATGAAATGGGTCTAGCAAGTACTAGCAACATAGCTAATAATACCTCAGGTGACATGATATCTCAAGTGAATAAAATTAGGTTAATCTAAACTAGATTGTTTTTAAAGTTTTTCTTTAGATTATTACTAAAGTAATAGTTAAGTCATAATTATTAGTAGATTATTTCAAGAACTTTAAACCTCCTGCTTCTGACTACCAAAAATATCTTATAAATTAAGAATAATGTCATTTTATGCTGAAAATAAAAGTTTTTTTACCCCCAAAATCAATAGTCTATTTAAAAAGAGAGTTTAATATTTCTTTGAAAATTATGCACTTTTAAGACTTTATTGATAAAATTAATGATTTTTTTAATATATTTTGAATTTTTTTTAAAGAGACAATCTTTTAAAAACAGTTGCTGATCACCAGCCAGGAAAACCTTTGTCTGGGATGAAGATTCTTGATGTTGGCTGTGGTGGTGGATTGTTAACGGAGGTAAGTGATTTACAACTTTCCTGACATTTTTCTTTTATTTTTTTAAAAGGGAACTCTATATTTATTTATTTATTTATTTCTGGCTGTGTTGGGTCTTCGTTGCTGTGCGGGCGTTCTCTTGTTGCGGTGAGCGGGGGCTACTCTTCATTGTGGTGCACGGGCTTCTCATTGCAGCGGATTCTCTTGTTGCGGAGCATGGCCTCTAGGTGCGCAGGCTTCAGTAGTTGTGGCACGCGGACTCAGTAGTTGTGGCTCTCGGGCTCTAGAGCGCAGGCTCAGTAGTTGTGGTGCACGGGTTTAGTTGCTCCGCGACATGTGGGATCTTCCCGGACCCGGGCTCAAACCTGTGTCCCCTGCATTGGCAGGTGGATTCTTAACCACTGAGCCACCAGGAAAGCCCAACTTTCTTGGCATTTTTAACTGGGAAAAAAAAAATTGAGAAAAAGTGGGCTTATGCCTCTTTTATCCTTTTAACAAATAATATTGTTCATTTTTAAAACAGGAAGTGTATAATGTTGTTTTTAATATTTTTGTGATTATAAACTAGTACATGCTTTTTACTTTCTTAAAAATATATAAGTATTTCATCTTAGAATTTAAAAAAGACATGAAACCTCAGATGGGCCCTAATGATGCCAAATGAAGGCACAAACATACATATCATGATGAATATCAGAGAAAAAGAGAAAACTCAAAGAACTTCTAGTGAGGAGGATAGATTACTTACATAGAAGAAATAATTAAACTGATAGAAGACTCTCTGTTGACACTATTAAATGCAATATTATTAAAGACAATAAAACAAAACAAAAAAATATATATAAGTATTTCAGAAAATTATAGTGAGGATTTATTTTTTTTTTACACAAAAATGGGGCACTGGTAAAAATAAATAAATGGTACCTAATTAAACTTAAAAGCTTTTTCACAACAAAGGAAGGCATCATCAGAACAAAAAGATAACCTACTAAATGGGAGACAGTATTTGCAAATGATATGATTGATAAGGGGTTAATATCCAAAATATATAAACAGTTCATACAACTCAACATCAAAAAACAAACAACCAGGTTAAAAACGAGCAGAAGACCTGAGTAGACATTCTTCCAAAGAAGATATACAGATGGCCAATAGGCACATGAAAAGATGCTCAACATTGCTAATCATCAGAGAAAGGCATGTCAAAACCACAATTAGATATCACCTCACACCAGTCAGAATGGCTATCATTAAAAATTCTACAAATAACAAATGCTGATGACGATGTGGAGAAAACAGAACCGTAGTACACTGTTGGTGGGAATGTAAATTGGTGCAGCCACTACAGGAAACAGTATGGAGGTTCCTCAAAAAACTAAAAATAGAACTACCATATGACTGAGCAGTTCCACTGCTGGGTATACATCTGAAGAAAACAAAAAAACTAATTCGAAAAGATACACGCACCCCAATGTTCATAGCAGCACTATTTACAAGAGCCAAGATATGGAAGCAACCTAAGTGTCCATCAACAGATAAGTGGATAAAGAAGATGTCACACACACACACACACACACACACACACACACACACACAGGAATAATAGCCATAAAAAAGAATGAAAATTTTGCCATTTGCAACAATGTGGGTGGACCTAGAGGGTATTACACTTAGTAAAATAAGTCAGACAAAGACAAATACTGTATGTTATCACTTATGTATGGAATCTTAAAAATAAAGCAAACAAATGAATATAACAAAACAGAAACAGATTCACAGATACAGAGAACAAACCAGTGGTTGCCAGTGGGGAGAAGGAAGGGGACGGGGCAAGATATGGGTAGGAGGATTAAGAGGTACAAACTACTATGCATAAAATAAATAAGCAACAAGGATATATTGTGCAGCACAGGGAAATATAGCCATTATTTTATAATAACTTTAAATGGAGTATAATCTATAAAAGTATTGAATTACTATGTTGTACACCTGAAACTAATATAATATTGTAAATCAACTATACTTCAATTAAAAAAAAAACACTGGTCATTTGAATAGCTTTGGAAACTTTGTTGTCTCTTCTCTCCCAAGATATTAGGCAATTTCCGCTGGTTTAAATGCACTGATAAGCTGTCCTTTTGCACTTGCTTCAGTATCAAAACGTAACAGAATTTTGCCTGCTTTGGGGGCTCTCCCCTTCTTAGGTGCTCTAGAGTACTTCTCCCTGTGAACAATACTTGCTTTAGCTGACAGAATATTTATGCCCTACAGTTCTATTTTGTAATATCCTATCAACACAATAACTTTTTGTTTAAATGCTGCATCATAATCTTTGCTTGAAAGATATTTTAAGCAAACAGTACAGGATACAAATGTAAGTGAAGATACGATGGTGTGTGTTACTGTCAAGATCATAACAGCCAAGTTGACAGTGAGGTTAACAGAGGCCCTTGATACATAGCTAAGTTTCCATATGCACAGAAAATGTGTTCTTCATATGGCAGTGCGCTGGTTTCTCTTGACATCAATTATAAAATTTCAGGATGTAAAATATGTGAAAATACATCCCTTAGAATCAAGAATATGAGGTGTATCAAATTGTAAATTAGTACAATTTTACTCTATGTGTTATATGATCTTCTCCGTGTATTATTACAGATTTATGTCTCTAAAGTTAAAATAATTTGATTTATACTTTTAACTTATTAACTAAAGAGTTATAAAATAAATGCTATGCAGTTTTGATCAAAATAAAGGCTGTGTTTAAAAACTTGGGCATGTCATGGGAAGTGACTGAATATAAAGGCTGAAAGAGGAATTAGCTACGAAGAATCGTTTTTAGTCAGTCAGAAGAGAAACTATGGAGAAAAAAATGTGCTTCAGAGAATTTGAGTATTAGAAAATTTTGCTCTTTTTACAATGACATGTTACATTTATTGCACTTTAAATATGTTAATACTGTACTGTGTGCCTGTAAATATATCTAGAGAATGTAGACAAAAATTTCCTCACTATTCGTAAGTAGTTCCTGATAAGTTTTGTTGTTGTTGTGATTATTGTTCTCACTTTTAAGCTTTTTATTATGGAAATTATCAAACATGTACAAACTAGAGAAAATGGTATATTGAACTTTCGTGTACCCATAAATGATCTCCAACAATTAACACCTCGTGCCTAATCTTGTCTCCTTTTTGAGAAGCTTTTTATTGCTAACGTGTGTTCTATTTTCTTCCTGAGGGTAATGATTTCTTATGCCATTAGCCTCTAGGGCGGCTTGGGGCTTCAGTTATTGGAATTGATCCTGTGGATGAGAACATTAAAACAGCACAGCACCATAAATCATTTGACCCAGTCCTGGATAAGCGGATAGAGTACAGAGCGTGTTCCCTGGAAAAGATTGTGGAAGAAACTGCAGAAACATTTGATGCTGTTGTAGCTTCTGAAGTTGTAGAACATGTGCTTGATCTAGAAATGTTTATACAGTGCTGCTGTCAAGTGTTAAAAGTAAGACTTACAGAGTTTACTTATTTGTGTTTTCTTTTGAGTTTGTGTATGTATCCATAGCAATAAATGTTTTATAATACTTGGAACCAGGAAGACAGGATGAGGGGACAGCATCTCTACTGGAGATTACTTCTGCCTCTCAGCCTGCCCTCGATATCTGGGGTTTTCCAGATCTAGTATCTTGATGTCCAGGGATCTTGAAAAATGTTGGTGCTGAACACTGCAATACAACAATAGATTTATAGTGGTATTTTTCTTTGGTGTAGTCTGGATTAATTACCTAATAGGCATTGAATGACAATTACTAAGAAATTGACTTGGATTAATACTTAAAAATAAAAAACCATTATTAGCATAAATTGGTTAGCCAGCATTTGTTAAGTCACTCTGTATATGTGATATGTGTAACAGTTATCAGCTTATAAAAGAATACTTCATACATATGATCTCATCAGATCTTACCTACAACCAGGTGAGGAAGGTAAGGCAGGCATTATGACCTCCTTTGACCCAATGAAGATCAGAATCTGAGGTGTCAGAGGTCACATGGTCTTTAAGTCAAAGGTCACTAGGCACTTAAGTAGGGCGTAAGGCTACATCTTTTTATCTGCTCAGCGGCATGTGGGATCTTCCTGGACCAGGGCTCGAACGTGTGTCCCCTGCATTGGCAGGTGGATTGCCACTGTGCCACCAGGGAAGTCCCTACATTATTATGCTTATATAATTTGACACAGTCCTCTGAAGGTGGTTCCAAATTTTCTTTTAATAAATATTTCCAAAGTATTATTATTACTATATCAACTCTGTTGTTTATGTATTCAAGAGGTAACTCCCTAAGGTCAAGAGCTAAAAGAATTAAATGCTTAGCCTTTATCTAAATAGAGCTTTTAAAAAATACTTTTAAAATAATTTTAGATTTATAGAAGAGTTGGAAAGATAGTACACAGTGTTCCCACTGTGAAGGGTGGTGAAGGGTGCCCTTCACCCAGTCTCCCCTACTGTTAACATTCTACATAATAAGGGTAGGAACTGGGGTGAGGCAGGTGTGGCAGAAAGTCAAAGGCGGCACTCGCTATTCTGTGCCAGTCCTGCATTTGCATGCCCCAGAGAGTGAGTGCCTCCTTGGATTCTGTGCCCTCAGTACCTCACTTGCCTCACCGTACTCCTAGCCCTGTATGTAACCCATGGTATATTTCTCAAAACTACAAAATTAGTTGACATTATACTATTAACTACACTACAGACCCTGTTAAATTTCATTAGTGTTTCCACTAATGTCATTTTTCTGTTGTAGGATCCAATCCAGTGTTCCATATTGCATTTAGTTGCCATATCTCCGTAGTCTCCTTCAATGTGTATAGTTTCTTGGTGGTGTTTCCTCTTAAAAACAAATTTCATTAGGTATACCTCCTATTTTCCAAGGAAAATTCCTTAATTATTTCTTTTTGGGTAGTGTCTCAGTCAGTGTGTATGGATGGAAGTTCTCACATATATTAGGGATACTGGCATCGTGGAATTTAAAACTAATTTTTGCTTTAATGGAAAGCCTATTTAAAAAACAATGACCAATGCTCATCACTATTTCCTTAGAGTAAGATTTTATGAAACACAGATTAGATATTTATAAGTAATTTTTCCCTTAGCTCTACTGAGATATAATTGACACATAAGTGATTTTTTTTTTTTTTTCGCGGTACGCGAACCTCTCACTGCTGTGGCCTCACCCGTTGCGGAGCACAGGCTCCGGACGCACAGGCTCAGCGGGCATGGCTCATGGGCCCAGCCGCTCCGCGGCATGTGGGATCTTCCCGGACCGGGGCACGAACCCGTGTTCCCTGCATCAGCAGGCGGACTCTCAACCACTGCGCCACCAGGAAGCCCACACATAAGTGATTTTTAATGAGATATTTTAGAATACTAGAGTTTTACAGAGAAAAGTTATAATGTATAATGAAGTCGTGTCTGATATTTTAGTCTTAAGGGCACATCCCAATATTTCAGGGCCTTCTCTTATCATTTTTATTTTTGGTTTAGAGTGTTATTTGAGATATTTTCATACATATATATCTTAATATGATTATTTTGGAAGGGGTCTTAGGCATTTTATCTCCATCAGGTGCTAATGAGAATGTGTGGAAGAGACATTAATGTTCTTGCCATTTGTGGGAGTACATACAGGAAACACTATAAATATAGTCACTAAAAAATGGCAGACTAAACAATCCCGTAAGTGGTTTGCATTCACTGAAGTTCTTATCTTGATCTCTTTATATTCTTTATACTAATGAAATCAAAACAAAACAAAGCACTTTCATACCTTAATCATTAAGGCTTTTGTCAGAGAACACTTATCGGCCTTGCCAGCCTGCACAAACCATGGGGCAGTGTGCGCTGTACCAAACAAGTCAGGCAGACTCGGCACCCAAAAAGAAAGCATTGTTGACACATTAAGACATCAGTGTGGACATGTAACAAGGAAGAGCAGCCGGATCTCATTTCTATATTTTTATTACAAATTATTTGCTATGTACAAAAGAATGTATAAATATAAACATAAATCATAGTAATGTATGATTTTAGGAGTTAGTTGTAAGCCCTGTTGCATAAACTCAGTACACGCATCTTTAGTGGACTGCCCATAACAATGAACTTCCCAAGAGAAAAAACTCTCTATTTTGGTAGATTATATTTTATTCACACTTGTGGGTTTGTGTTTTGTGGTTTTTTTTTTGACCGTGCGGTGTGGGACCTCAGTTCCCCGACCAGGAATCGAACCTGTGCCCCCTGCACTGGGAGCACGGAGTCTTAACCACTGGACCCCCAGGGAAGTCCCCATACTTGTGTATCTTAACTGCACTTAAATTGTTTGGAAGGAGGGAGGAGGATGGGGGAAGCCAAGCCTTTATCTAACTGTTACTCCTAACATTTAAAATTTTACTTCTACACATATTTTTTTTTAGCCTGGTGGTTCTTTATTCATTACTACAATCAACAAAACACAGCTGTCCTATGCCTTGGGAATTGTATTTTCAGAGCAGATTGCAGGTATTGTACCAAAAGGTACTCATACATGGGAGAAGTTTGTTTCACCTGAAAAGCTAGAGAGCATTCTGGAATCAAGTAAGTATTAAAATTTTTTCCAATTTCCAAGGCCTAACTGAACTTTTAATGTGCCTATAATTATTAATCACATAACCTAGCACTTAATGAAATAGGCCACTATTCTTTGGATGTTGGTTTTCTCTCCTCAACTAGATCATAAACGCCTTGAAGTTAGGATTAAGTATTACATCCACTTTTCTCTCACCTATGGCACCTAACCCAGGGCCAAGCAAATCATAGATGATCAATGAATACTTTTTGGCTGTTTAGTCCTCACCTGTTTAAGGATGAGGTACAAATGTCTTTTAGTTACACATCCTCAGTTTGTCCTATTGAGGCCGTGCTTGAGTCAGCTTATTTTACGTATTACTTCCTTCATAGTCAGATATATTTTGAACTTCCTTGTCACATTTTTTTTTTTTTTTTTTTTTTTTTAGCGGTACGCGGGTCTCTCACTGTTGCGGCCTCTCCTGTTGTGGAGCACAGGCTCTGGACACGCAGGCTCAGTAGTTGTGGCTCACGGGCCTAGCCCCTCTGCAGCATGTGGGATCTTCCCGGACCGGGGCACAAACCCGTTTCCCCTGCATCGGCAGGCGGACTCTCAACCACTGCGCCACCAGGGGAGCCTGTCACTTCTTATGTAGTGTTTTATGCTAGCTATAGCATGCCTTATAGTACGGTTATTTTAGTGTTCTTAACCTCTTTCTGGCTTGAAGGCAAGACTGTCTCCTTTTTGTGCTCCCCACAGTGCCTAGCTCTGCTTTACACCTCGTGAGCACTTGATTTACCTGTTGAATTCCTGTCAAGTAATAACACTTGTCAGTTCATTTATTTGGCATTTGGTATTCCTCTTAGGCTCATGTGTGCCTCATGCTTTTTGTTCACGTAACAGTATATCAGTAAACTTGATTTTACTTGGAATAATATTATCTGTCCAATGAAATGTGGTAATTTCTTCTCTGCAAGTAACTTTGTTGAAAATAGAGTAGAAAAAATATTTTAAAGATGATCGGAACAGTCAGTTGTTGGCCGGATTTTCTAAAAACAGCTAACATTTATTGAGTACTTATTACCAAATTCCAAATACCGTGCTAGAGTTTATGTTCTACTGCAGTAAAGAATGAGCTGTACATGGCTACAAAGTATTTGTGCCTATTGAGTTAGGAATCCTTTTTTAATTTGGAGAGTTGCATGAGACTCTTGGCATGTGGAAGGTAAATATTTATTAAAGATGCTCTGTCTGATATTTTTTTTTCTCAGACGGTCTGTCAGTTCAAACTGTGGCAGGAATGCTCTACAACCCCTTCTCAGGTTACTGGCGTTGGAGTGAAAACACCAGCCTTAATTATGCAGCTCATGCCCTGAAATCCAGCATGCAGAAACACCCAGCTCCTGCCGAGTTTGCTTTAAAGGAGGAAACAGAAGAGCTCCGCATTGAAACCTCCACCAACTCAGGTGTGCATGAAGCGCTGAAGAAATGAATTGTTTCTAAGGACTGTAGTAAAATGGCTTGAAAGTCTGATGTTTACAAATACACAAAATATACCATTTGTCTTTTGAGACAGGATCATAAAGAAAAGAAAGTCAAATAGAAAGGGCTAAAACCTTAGATAAAAACTCTTGTTGTTTCATCTAATAGCTACCTTCAAGGAATTAGTCTATGTGATCTAGGAGTTTAAGTTTCTCAGCCTTTGTTATATAAATAGGGTATACATATTTCACTTCATCTTACAGATTATATATTTTTCCCGCATGTATGCACATACATATATACTGTAATGTTTTAATTTAAGTAAATTTGTATCATCTAGGTTCTTCTTTATTTGGTTTTAGTTAAAGGCAGTTATGCTTCTCACTGGTTTTATTTTATACCACTTATATTTAGGAAGATAAAATGTCTTTTTTCCTTTAAATTTTGGTTTTTGGAAAGCAAATTGATTGTTAAATATATACTGGGTTTGGTCAAACATTAGAATCAAGAAATTCAGATTATGTTGGACATTTTTCTCTGTACAGTTCTATAAATGTTTTGTGGTGCCTTTTTTAAGTAGAAAAGATTTTTGAACTCAATTTAAGAGTTTAGTTATGGAAATTTTCTTTTTCGGCTAACATTTTGTAATTAGAGGGACTGACTTGAAATATACTTTCACTCCTCTTGAAGTATGTGATTTTTTGGCTTTTTCTGAAAGTCCAGAATGTATAAGGACTTTGATAGAGGGTGTTGACCAAATATGAGAAATATAGGTTGAACGCCTGTGGCTCATACAGAAAGTCAGCTTTTACTTTCTAGCCTTTTTTTTTTTTTTGGCTGCATCCCACTGGACCACCGGGGAATTCCGTAGCCTTACTCACTTTTACGCTTATAAGCTTTCTGTATTTCTTTGTCAATGCCTGTTGGATTGGGCTCACCACGCAAACAATTCCCAAGCATCTTAGCTTATCATTTGCTTCTCAGTGGCATTCCAGGGAGGAAACTGAAATTTAAAGGGTTAAAAGAAATTTTAACTTCAGTTGCTAATGTCTAATTAGGACACTAAAAATCAGGAGTTCCCACTGGGTTTCATTTAAAAGTTTGATTCTTAGTCTGAATTCTAGTAGTTTTGTTACCAAAGCAAAGCTTCTTCATTCTATCTGTTGGGAAAAAAGAAAAGTGTTGGTATTAGAAATTAATCTAAATGGAAAACCAGAAACTGTAAAACTCTTAGAAGAAAACATAGGTGGAATACTCTTTGACATAAATTGTAGCAATGTATTTTTGGGGTTTTTTTGGTCTCCTCAAGCAAAGGAAACAAAAGCAAAAATAAATGAGTGGAACCCAATTAAACTTAAAAACTTTTGCACAGCAAAGAAAACCAACAACAAAATAAAAAGACAACCTACTGAATGGGAAAAAGTATTTGCAAATGATATGATTGATAAGGGGTTAATATCCAAAATATATAAACAGCTCATACAACTCAACATCAAAAAAACAACCAGATTAAAAGATGGACAGGGCTTCCCTGGTGGCACAGTGGTTGAGAGTCCGCCTGCCGATGCAGGGGAAACGGGTTCGTGACCCGATCCAGGAAGATCCCACATGCCGCAGAGCGGCTGGGCCCGTGAGCCATGGCCGCTGAGCCTGTGTGTCCGGAGCCTGTGCTCTGCAACGGGAGAGGCCACAACAGTGAGAGGCCCGTGTACTGCAAAAAAAAAAAAAGATAGACAGATGACCTGAATAGACATTTTTCCAAAGAAGATATACAGATGGCCAATAGGCACATGAGAAGATGCTCAACATCGCTAATCACCAGGGAAATGCAAATCAAAACCACAATGAGGTATCAACTCTCATCTGTCAGAATGGCTATCATCAAAAAGTCTACAAATAACAAGTGTTGGCAAGGATGTGGACAAAAGAGAACCCTTGTACACTGTTGGTGGGCATTTGAATTGGTACAGCCACTACAGAAAACAGTATGGAGATTCCTCAAAAAACTAAAAATAGAACTACCATATGACCCAGCAATTCCACTCCTATTTATCCAAACAAAACAAAAACAAAAACACTAATTCAAAAAGATATGTGCACCCCAACGTTCATAGCAGCACTGTTTACAATTGCCAAGATATGGAGGCAACCTAACTGTCCATCAACAGATGAATGGATAAAGAAGATGTTATTTATATATATGTATTGGGTTGGGCAAAAAGTTCGTTCAGGTTTTTCCACCCAAACAGTTTTTTTTTGCCACCCTAATACACACACACACACACACACACACACACACACACACACACAATGGGATACTACTCAGCCACAAAAAAGAATGAAATTTTGCCATTTGCAACAACATGGATATTGTTGGAGGGTCTTAGATGCTAAGTGAAATAAGACAGAAAGATAAGGTGAAGGGGCAAGATACAAGAGATACAAACTACTATGAATAAAATAAGCTACAAGGATATATTGTACAGGGACTTTCCTGGTGGCACAGTGGTTAAGAATCTGCCTGCCAATGCAGGGGAGGTGGGTTCGATTCCTGGTCGAGAAAGATCCCACAGGCCGTGGAACAGTTAAGCCCGTGCACCACAACTACTGAACCTGTGCTCTAGAGCCCGTGCACCGCAACTACAAAAGCCGGCAAACCTAGAGCCCGTGCTCTGCAACAAGAGAAGCCATTGAAATGAGAAGCGCGTGCACCGAAACGAAGAGTAGCCCTTCCTCGCCACAACTAGAGAAAGCCCGTGCACAGCAACGAAAACCCAATGCAGCCAAAAATAAATTAAAAAGTTAAAAAAAACCCGATTAATCTAAGGACTGTGTAATGAAATTGATTAAAAAGCAGCCCCCAAACAAAGGGCATTTATTTTAGAAAGAACACTTTCAATTATTAAAAATATACATTGTTAAGTGATGGAAATTCAGTATGATTCAGTAATAGCCCCATTAGGTAGGGACTACCGTCCACTCCATTTCACAGAGATGTTAAATGTATTCAGCCTCTCACAAGTAGTAAGATGCAGACCCAGGTAGTCTGATTGCTGAGCTTGTGCACGTCACCACTTTGATACTTGTACCTAGTATCTGTACCATCATATGGTCATCGTGGTAGCATAACCACACACAACTGGATTATTATCACGTATGTGAATTGTCTGTATGCAAGGTAGCACCCTCAAAAGCATTTAAATCAAACAGCATCACAAAATCTAGAGTCTGGGCTAGTTGCCTCAGTTCTCTTAGAGCTTCATTGCCTTTCTATGACTGAAACAATTACATGCTACTGATGGCAACTTAATAAAATGCTTTAAAGACCCCAAATAAAATTATAGCCTTACTTTCTATTATAGTTACAGGTTTTACTATTGTATTAATTATAAATTGAAGAGAAGTATTGAATTCAAGTACTACACAACAAAAATATCTCAGTCAAGCAAAAAAGTAAAAAATTTTGACATCATTTGAAATGTCTTTTTGATGTGTGCTAGGGACACTCAACAAGGGCTTCTGTGCTACCGTTGACCTGGAATACACAATATTGAGAGGCATCAAGTAAAGATTTAGAGACTGCTCGGTAACGAGGCATAGGAGTAAGTCATGCTTACTGGAAATATTTTTTAAACCTGGATTGGCAAGGTCCCTGCAATTCTGTTAAACATATTTGTGTAATTACAGGCTTACAGACATTGATCCAAAAATCTACGAATCATAAGAAAATGTCAATGGAGAAATAAAGACGGAAACAAAACCAAATGAAAGTGTTAGAACAGTCAACACATAATTGCTTTTATTAACTTACAATGCGACTCTATTAGAAGGGAGATTCTTACTTGACTATTACTAATGAGATGCAAATGACATGCAAGTCTTCCCTGTATCAAAAAAAAAAAAAAAAAAAAAAAGCCAAAAATCCTGACACTGATGGTTTGCATGAAAATCAAGCAAAAGAATTGATTGTGAGATCAATAAACCTCTTGTATCCCAGCAAGAAAAGGATGCAGCACATATAAACGAGCCACTGTCTAGGAACTAAAAGCCACCAGTTGGAGCCAAAGGAAGAAAATATGTTCTCAAGATGATGTGAACAGAACTGAGAATGGGGGTGGAGAGTTACAGAGTAAATATGGACACGAGATGTTTCCACTCTGATAGATGTGAACCTTTGTTTCCCGTTGACAGATGGGACCCAACAGACATAAAGTCACTGACATCATGTAAGATCTGCACATGTCTTTCTGACTCTAAAACAGGCTCTGTATCTGGAGTCCTGATACAGGCTTCTGGGGTTCTAGGAACCCCCTGAAATAGGGAACAAAATTTTGCGTGTGTGTGTATTTTTCTGCCGAGAATGTCCCATAGCTTTCATCAGAGTCTCAAAAGTTTCATGACCCCCAAAAAAGGTTAAAGGTGACTATAGTTAAAATACTGCAGTAGGGAAATATAGTCTTTACTTGACAGAATATGTCAGGAAAAGAAAAATACGGTCACTCTGTCTTCTGCTTATATTTTGTAAAAGTGAACATGAAGGGTGTCAGTAGCTGTGAAAGGTGAAAACTGGATCATGATTTAAATTGCCTCTTTTTGGTCATTCTTTTGATATTAAATTGAAGAGACATTCTGGGATTCTGTTTTTAGACTTAGTTTTGTCAGGATGGGATGGTAGAAGTCTAGATTAATTAACAATCAGATTTATGCAACGTTTAAAGAATTTCAACTCATTAAAAAAAAAGGATTGATTTTATTATTTATGTATTTATGTATTTTTTGGTCGCACCCTTGGCAGTGAAAGCACAGAGCCCTAACCACTGGACCGCCAGGGAATTCCCAAAAGATTGATTTTAAATAGAGATAAATAGTTGGATTAGCCACCTAGGTAGCAGGCTAGGTGGGTGGATGGATGAGAAATACGCAACCCAATGTTATCAAAGAGCCTAAGGGAACTGCCTTGTGCGGTGGGATGTCCCAGCAGCTCTTCTCATCTTCATCTGTCCCCATCCTCACACACACCACCAGGTAGCACCCAGACTCACCGCATAGTAACGAGGGCTTTGCGCTCTCAGGCCTCTGCTTGTTTACCTGAGCACCCACAGACCTGGCAGTTTTGCTCTCGTTTTTCCCTGAGAACCAATCAATGGATGCTGAACCTTAACTCTTCCAGAGGCAAATCTCTCCGTGCTCTTGAGATGACATCTTCCTCTGAGATCAATCAGTTCAGGCCCAGGTGACTGGCACTCTACAGACCTGCTGGGGCCAAATGTTTTTGACACTCTTGTAGCCTGATAAGGATCCCTGCAATCCCTAGTCGTTGCCCAAGATTCAGACACCCACACTGATTCTTTTCTATAAACTCTCCCTAAGACTGTTTCTTGAATTTGTCTTCCCTGACTCAACCTCCCACTTCTCCCTTCTACACTTTTCTGCTGTGACCTCTATAAGCACCAGTTCATGATTTATCAACTACCCTACTTCTCAAGTCTGCATTTAAGTTTCCTTTACTTTCTACCTTAACTGAAACCTGGCTTTCCTTTGAGGATGTGATTTCACCTGCAGCCATTCTGAGAGGAAGTTTCATATTGTCTATGAACCTCAGAGTTGTGAGATGGGATTTGAGTCCTTTTCACTCACTGCCATTACTCTTTTTTCTTTTTTTCTGCTTTTTAAAAATTCTTTTACAGAG